ATCGCCAGTCGTCAAGGATACGAGTTGAAATTTACGCGATTTAACCTCCTATCGGTGTTTTCGATAAGAAAAGAAAAACATAGGCACGTTAAACGTGCATGAGCTATTTTGAATGCTTCAGTGTAACTTTAATGCTTCAGTGTAACCTTACTAAGAGTGATCAATCTACCTCTTTCATCCTAAATGTAGATTAGGTTTTTGTGCGAAATTGCGTATTGCGGTACAAAATGAAAACGCGAAACGCTCAGCTGAGTCGATTCTCAAGCTATATATTCACTTTCCTCTGTCTTTCCCTGTTACATCTGGTGCAAGTTAAACAAATCGTTAAAGTGAAATAAATTTCTACTCACCAAACGTTGATTAGAAGGAAAACTCTAAGGTTTCCTCGGAGTTTCTTAAGCCAAAATGTGACTCATCGAATACTGAATAGTTACGAAATACCAGGATTTTTATCATTGTGGTAGATGGTTGCATCATCATAATTCACGAGGTTTTCACGTGCGATTCTACTCAGTGAAACAGTCTTTAACTCCGACAACTTATTTCTTCATGTTTTAAAAGCTATTGCTTCTCAGAAGACAAGAGCCTTTTTTAAGGCATTGGTTACAAAACGAAACAGGTCTTCATACGTCCAAGTTACTATTTATCATTGTGAAAAGCCAATCTGCATGAGATGTACAGTCACACAGCTGGCTCGTGAAAGTGTTGGACTTTGCCCCCTTTCGTCGTTCGTACGTGAGGGAATTCGAGTTATCACACAGTAAACTAGCTGAGTAAACAGAATTATAAAAATAACTCACGCACACAATTTGCACGTGAAGGTGTTGGTCTTTGGCCCTTTTACAATTCGTACGTTAAAAAAAGGCAAATTCTTCACTACAAAATTTTCTCAAACGATTTTAAGAAATCACCTCGGCTTCATTATAACATCTGCAATTAAATTATGTTTCATGCAACGTCAAGGTTGATAACCTAACATTTATTAACAAAATTTTGTGAAACGGTCTTTAACTCCGACAACTTATTTCGTCATGTTTTAAAAGCTATTGCTTCCTAAAAGACAAGAGCCTTTTTTAAGGCATTGGTTACTAAATGAAACAGGTCTTCATACGTCCAAGTTACTATTATTATTGTGAAAAGCCAATCTGCATGTGATGTACAGTCACACAGCTGGCACGTGAAAGTGTCGGACTTTGCCCCCTTTCGTCGTTCGTACGTGAGGGAATTCGAGTTATCACACAGTAATCTAGTAAACAGAATTATAAAAATAACTCATGCACACAATTTGCATGTGAAGATGTTACAAAATTTTCTTAAACGATTTTAAGAAATCACCTCGGCTTTACTACAACATCTGCAATTAAATTATGTTTCATGCAAGGTCAAGGTTGATAGCCTAACATTTATTAACTTCCAAGAAAATTATCAAACTGCCGAAATATATTTCTACTTATATCATGATTATTGTGTCAACTAGCTTCCTCCAATTTTATTCCCTAACGCCACTGTTTCTACTTAAGTTACGCATCTTTACTAAATAGAACGAAAAAGGTCGGTTGAACTTTGTAAGCGAGAGAATAATATTTTTAAAGCTTGTTTACAGGATTAACAATACTCGATACAGCTTTCAAAAAAATAAGCTGCCTTTTAAACTTCTAAAACCACATTTTATAGGGCGCATACTTTCGAATAAACGTCTATATCTAAATATCAATTATTGCTTCATTGGAAGAGATGTGAAAATATATGATCTTTTATAATCTACCCAGTTGTAGCAGGTGAAACAGAACTCACACTGACGTGCGTTGTACCGATAGCCGAATTAGGTCAGAAATGCCTCGAAGCAGCATCCACACTTAAATATGAACCCTTAAACAGTTGCATCACTGTTCACAGCGTTTGAATCATGAAGATATTTTATGTAATGCTTCCAAACACCTGTACCCGTAATAAAAGACGAAAAAATTGTGAAGGATCAAGATGGCGGTCTCAAAGTGCCCTTGTTAGACCTTTACCAATGTCATGTTTAAGTAGATGCTAAGATCTCATTGGTTCCTAAGCATCAACTAATAGTACCTTCAACCTTATTGGCTCTTGCAACAAACATCCGAACATACAAAGTTACAAAGCCACAAAGATACATACGCTCACACCACTGACATATGAGCTATTTTTTCAAAATAGCTCAAAAACTGAACTCTAGCTGTGCTCGGCAAAAACTGGCGAACTCCTAATAGAAAAATCTATCGGAAATCACGGCCCGCAACCAGACGCTACTAAAACCTTATGAAAAAGCTAGACCTAAAGAAAAAAGAATCATGAAAGAAAGAAATAATTTGGCTTAGGTCGCCTTTCGTGACTTGCCAGTACCCCGAAGGATTTCGCTGGTTAACAAGCCATCCTAAACTACGAGTGGGAAAACTCAAGCGCGACAGATTTGGCAAGGATCGTTCTTCAGAGGAAGCAAATCGATTAAAAATCGATACAGATTTTGTACAATCTGATTGGTCGGCTCGGAAGAAGAGATAATCGATAAAGATTTTAGGCAATCCTATTGGCTGGCTTTGCAATTTTGGGTACAACCGAACCGGATTTTTACCGTGGGAGTGCCACAGGCATCCCACAGAATAATAATGATATTAATAATAATTTTTTAAATAGGCTTCTAGTAGAGATAGTCTTTGCGTAGATTTTACAGAGTATAAGAATTGAACACTATTCTAAATTGGCTTTTTAGGTAGCAGGGGCGTAGCTAGGATTTTTCAAAGGAGTGGGGGGGGGAGGGGGGGGATCACATTGCATCACACCCAGGGTACTAACCAGATTGGCATGTCGACATCCAGGCGGTTTTTTTCACTAAAAGTGATTTATTTTGGATGAGTATTGAGCGTGGGGGGGAGGGACTAGCCTACAAGATAACTGCCTTGATTAATTAAGTTCCACCTAGCATAAATTACTCTATTTTAGTAACGAACGAAAACATGTCCACTGCAGATGTTCGGTCCTGCAAATGGAGTAAGCAACAATCTGGCACTGGAAAAGATTTATTGCGTGCTGATCCTTCGGATTCGCGAGTTTTGGCCACCTGAATTATAGGGACATAAAACAATTATCTCACAAAGGGGGGGGGGGGGGGAAGAAAAACAGGTAACACGCAGATTGTCTGGCCTGCAAATGGAGGAAACAACACATGTGCACGGGAAAAAATTTATTGCGGGTCTAACCTTTGGATTCGGGAGGTTTGGCCCCCCGGAATATAGGGGAAAAAAAAAATTTTTCCACAAAGGGGGGGGGGGGGATCATGGGCAACCCAGGACCGCCCCCTAGTTACGCCCCAGAGTAAAGAGAATCATATCATTATGTATATTAGTATTGTATTAGGTTTTGTCCCGAACTTTTTGTACTTCTAAGTGTGGCTTCTCAAGTGGTGTAGGTTACGTTAGCGCCCTATACTATCAATAATGTGAACAGCATTCCAAAGTTTTATACTGCGAGATAACAATAATAAATGCAGAGATCTATCATCTCGAGTAGTTTAAACAATGCCCGGACTTTTAAAGTTGTTGGAACATGGTACAAACCTCATTTTAATCATGAAGGATATGTTGAAGGACATGTATGTACAGTACCGCTCAAAAGTAAGTTGACAGTCACTTGCATCTCGAACCTCGAGACTCGATTCTCGAATCTCGAAACTTTCGAGGATGGAGTCTCGAGAATAGAGTCTCGAGTCTCGATGATCGAGGATCGAGGATCGAGTTTCAAATTTCGAGTCGAAAAATTTGAACTTGTCGTGAGAGCACACTAATCAGTGTTCTCCCTAGGTACTTAAGGCTAGGCGGACCGCCTGGCTTAATACACTGGAGAAATTGTTGCCGCCTTACTCAAAAACTATTATTTAACCGAACGGAAGCTTATGTTGACATTTAGAGCTAGGTATTTTAAAGACAAAATCACTCAAGGAAGGGAATACTTGTCTGGTGTCTTTATTCTGTATTTTCTCGCAAGATATTCGCTATAAAAGTGGTTTATCCTTGGATGAAAATGTTTAAACCTGTGATGCATTCATTTTGTTCAGTGGCCCTCTAAGGAGCTTTAAACTTGGAGAACTAAAGGAAATTCCTTCGCTCGCAGTCAACCCAAGACGCGCGGAACAAAGACGAAAAGCTTGTCAAAGCAAATCGAGTTCTTTTTTACAACTTAAACTAAGTTCCTAAGTCGATAAATTTTTATTCAGGCTACAGCGGGTTTCGTACAAACACCGTTAAAAATCACAGTCAGAATACCCCCTGGCCTTCCCAAAATCCTAGGGAGATCACTGCACTTAAAAAGTGCACACTTACCGTTTGTTCTAAAAATCACCGCTCCATGCATTGGGTGAGACTCGTTCGCTTTCATGTAAACGAAGCTCGCGCTTTAAAAGCGAAAACGTTCGCTTATGGTCTGCTGCTAATAGTCCTTTTGAAACTCTCTTTTATAGAAGTGAAGATACATGTGAGATACATGTAATAGCAGTGAAAATTGAGCCTTCGCTTGAAAGTAAACAACAACGAAACAACTCATACAAGAATAACGCAACGCTCCCCCAAAAGAGCGTTGCGTGACATCCAAAAAACGGCTTCGAGGGAGACTAATACAAGAAACGACCGTATAAAAATCGCAGGTGCACAGTGTACGGCCGTTATTCTTTTTGACTTTTCATCGTTTGCACGTCAGACTAGCGGTAAAAAAGAGCCTCTGTTTGAAAGTAAACAATAACTAAACGACTCTGTAGATAATCGTACTGAAACAAAATTTTTCAACCAAAAATCTTCTTTAATCGTTCGAGAAAAAGCCTTTTTCATTCTTTGAACGGTGGTTAAGGAAATCTCGAGACCCAGAACTTGGAAAAGGTCCCAGCATTCGGGATTCCGTGTTTAGTTTCATGTAACTCCCCATACGTTTTAGTTCTGATAGTGGTATCATAAATGATTTTGCCTTAAATTCTTCCCTTTTTCTCTCTATCAGATGCTTCATCTGTAAAACCCTTCGACCTGAAGTACTGTCGAAGCAAACTAGAAGATCATTACCGAAAAACAGCAACTGTGCCCACTTCCGTTTGGTGTAAAAAATCTGTTGTCGACATTCACCAGATCTACACACGACTGTCCTGGGTGAAAGAGAACCAAACCCCAGCTGGAACAACACAGTCTGAGCTGAAGCATTACAGTGATCTTTTCACTGAAAACAAGAACGGCGTCATTCCAAAGAGAATACTAGTACAAGGGCAGACGGGAATTGGAAAGAGCACGTTTGTTAAGAAGCTGCTTGTGGACTGGGTTGATGAGTATGCAACTGTTCTGAAGAATTTTGAGCTTGTGGTTGCTGTAAATCTGAAGGAAGTGTCCAAATGCCAAAGCCTTAAAGATGTCATAAGACTCTCTAATGTGTTTGCAAAAGAGGACAAATGTATGACAGAGGGCCTTGTTGATTATATCACTAACAACCAAGAAAAAGCTCTTTTGATATTTGACGGTTACGACGAATACCGCAGTGGACTCGATTCAGAAATATACGAAATTTTTAGCGGAAAGAGCTTGAGAAGCTGTTGTGTGTTGATAACAACTCGTATTTCAAAAGCTGACGAGCTACGAGGAGGTGAAGATCTGCATGCTGAAATAACAGGGTTTAGTGAAGTGGACAGAGAACAGTTTATGCGTAGATTCCTCAACAGCGAAGAAGTGTCAAATTTACAGGCTCACTTGTATACGAGAGAGCTCGAGGAACTGGCAAAAGTCCCTTTACTTCTCCTGTTATTCTGTATTCTGTGGAAAGAGGGGCAGTCAAAAAGCTTTCCAAAATCTAAAACTAAATTGTACGTGGACATCGTCCAGTTCGTTTTAAATCACAGCCATAGTAAGCAAACAGCTGATAAAACAAAAACAAAGCAGTATGTAGAGCTAAAATCTTTCAAAGAGATCCTTTCGGAAATAGGAAAAGTTGCTCTACAAAGCCTTTTGAACGATGATCATTTGTTTGAATACAGCCAATTGTCAGATTCTGTCCGTTGCGATGAAAGTGTCTTCATCGGTTTGCTTCAAATCACAGAATACTCAGAAACCTTAGGACCAGTTGGAATGGTTTCCTTTATTCACAAGAGCATACAGGAGTTTCTGGCTGCATGGTACATCACCTATAAATGTATACCTGAAGGCGGGAATCTCGGTGAAATTGGTGTGAAGTTAGAGGAATGCTTGGATGTACAGAACGTTTTCCAGTTTATGTGTGGTCTGAGTGACGATGGAGCATTGGCGGCCTTGAGGCATTTCAAGTCTGTCAGAATCTCAGATCCTTCGCTGGATTTATCTAAGGCAATACCGCATGGAGGAAACAAAACAGATGTGCCTCTGAATGTCGTCACAACCCGTCAATGGAAGTTCAACGATTTGGTTTTAAATTCATTTGGCGAAGTTGAATCTAAAGCTGAGCTTTCACGAATTTGTTTGGATTGCGTTGGGAGTGTCTTTCTTTATTCACTGGCAACAAGATCTCTTCCTAAAGAACTTCTGATTAAAGCAACGGATACCAATTCTTTTTCTCTGATTATTAGAAAAGTAGGCGAGTCACTGAATAAGATAGTTAAAATACTGGTTAGTAAAAGTTCCAAAACTTTCAACGTTGCAGATTTCTTAGAAAAATTCGAAAATTCATCTCGTTTGTCTGGATGTAAAAATTGTTGGTTTGCTTCAATACTTTGTTTTCGTAACGGCCAGGTTTACTTTTACATCACGGACTTGGTATTGTCGTGCCTTCCCCACGCCAGGCTATTTACTGACAAAGTTAATTTTTCTGTTTTAAGCTCAGCACTTAACTTTTTGCGTAATCTTGACTTCTCCCTTACTGAATACCTGAATACTGACTCTATCTGTCATCTCTTGAAGCAAGTATCAAATCCGCACAGATGCATTCTTTCTATCAAGGGTTGTTCCTTAACGTCAAAAGGAGCAGTAGAGTTTGCATCTGTGTTGCCAAGGTTTCAAACACTCACTCGTCTTGACCTTCACTTGGCCGAATGCTCTGCAGAAGCAGTATCAACATTGGTTGCTGCTATTAAACACGAGTCTCTCGTGGAACTGGAACTAAGTGAAATTATCCTGACGCCAGCAGTTGTCGAGTCACTCAGTCAGTCGCTTCCAGAATTAACAGCCTTAGAAATACTGCGAATGAAAGGTTCGAGTGGATGCAATCTGCACTTAGATATTCCAGTTTACAGTTCGTCGTTTGGAACACTATCGATAACAGGCTTGACTGAAAACGCTGCAAAAGCAATAACAAGACTTTTTGATGTTTTTAAGCACAAACCTCTGGGTGTAGTGGAACTGAGTGTAATCAAGCTGACGTCAAAATTAGCGGACGCTCTCGGGCAGTTTTTGCCTGAGTTATCAGTCTTAAGAAGACTGAGCATAAGTTCCTTGAATGAGTGCTCTGATGAAGCAGCAACAAAATTGGTTGCCGTTATCAAACACAAGACTCTCGAGCACCTGGAACTGAGTGAAATCAACCTGACGTCAGCAGCTGCCGAGGCGCTCTGTCAGATGTTGCGTGAAACATCATCCTTAAAAACACTGGAGTTATTTGGCTCAGATGGATGCACTTTGCGGTTATCGTTTGCAGTTTCCATTTGGTATAGACCAAGACTGGAAATACGTGGCTCGACTGACAGCTGTGCTGAAGGAGTGTTAAGTTTGATTGGGGTAATCAAGAACAGGACAATTGAGGAACTGAAACTGAGTAACATCGACCTGACATCAGCAGTAGCCGAGTCGCTTGCTCAGTTGCTGCCTGAATTATCAGCCTTACGAAAACTGAGCTTAGATTCCTTGACTGAGTGTTCTGATGAAGCAGTAACAAAATTGGTTGCCTCTATTAAGCGCAAGAATCTCGATCAACTGTTTCTGCATGGAATCAAGCTAACGTCAGCAGCAGCCGAGGCGCTCAGTCAGGTGCTGCCTGAATTATCAACCTTACGAACACTGAGCTTAGGTTTCTTGACTGAGTGTTCTGATGAAGCAGTAACAAAATTGGTTGCCTCTATTAAGCACAAGAATCTCGATCAACTGTATCTACATGGAATCAACGTGACGTCAGCAGCAGCCGAGGCGCTCGGTCAGTTGCTGCCTGAATTATCAGCCTTACGAACACTGAGCTTAGGTTTCTTGACTGAGTGTTCTGATGAAGCAGTAACAAAGTTGGTTGCCTCTATCAAGCACAAGAATCTCGCTCAACTGTATCTGCTTGGAATCAACCTGACGTCAGCAGTAGCCCTGGCGCTCGGTCAGTTTTTGCGTGAACCATCATCCTTACAAACATTGGAGTTATGTTTCTCAGATGGATGCACTTTGTTGTTATCGTTTGCAGTTTCCATTCGGACAAAAGCAACACTGAACATACGAGGCTTGACTGAAAGCTCTGCTGAAGTAGTGTTAAGTTTGGTTGAGGTAATCAAGAACAGGATAATTAAGGAACTGGAACTGAGTAATATCGCCCTGACATCAGCAGCAGCCGGTTCGCTCGGTCAGTTGGTGACTGAATTATCAACCTTACGAAAACTGAGCATAGGTGCCTCGACTGAGTGTTCTGATGAAGCAGTAACAAGATTGGTTGCCACTACTAAGCACAAGACTCTCGAGGAACTGTATCTGCATGGAATCAACCTGACGTCAGCAGCGGCCGAGGCGCTTGGTCAGTTGCTGCTCGAATTATCATCTTTACGAACACTGAGGATAAGTGGCTCGGATGGATGCAGTTTACAGCATAAGGAACTGGAGGCGCTGTTTGGAAGATTTAACAGACCCTCTTCTTTGACTGAATTGTCCATTACTCGTTTCAGTGCCAGAGGAAGTCTTGATTCAATTGCGAACAACCTGTGTTTCTTTCCCAGCTTGATAAAATTAGAACTTGAAGACTTAGATATCGGTGAAGCTGACTTGTCTGATTTGCTCGAGAATTTGAATTTCACGCCAAATCTCCTTTTTTTGTCGCTGACGGACAATCCACTGGGACACGCCGTAAGATCAATGGTCCCATACTTGATTGAACAGCAAAAACTTCGGGTGGTTTATATTCGGCGAGGAGATTGTTCAGAAGAAGATTTGAAGTATGTTCAGGAGGCCGTCGAAGAAAAACGACCTCGACTGAATATTGAAACGTTTTAGTGATAACGGTAAAACCAGTCACATCTGACTTCCGAAATTCTGAATTCATGTTAAGGCGAGTAAAAAAAGAACGGTACATTTACTTCCTGTGAATATTGAGTCGTCTAGACTTTCGAAGTTGAGACTTGAAATTTATCTTAATTAGTACAGAAACTCCTCAGTGGCTGCTGTGAATAATTCAGATTCAGAATTGAACTTGAAAAAAGTGTTAATTTCTCTTACAGTACACTCTCAAGCAGATATTTGTAGATACATGTATACCTCCCCCCTCCCCCCTCGAAAAGAGAAACCTCATTTGCATATAGCAGCTTCTTTAATACTGACAATGAAGATGTGGTCTATGAATAGCTACAATTTATGAATACGGTTACTGAGACAAATCTTCAATTGAAGCCGGAAAGTAATATGATGTACTGTTAGTGTAAACCTTCGGCATGAAGCTTGAAATTGTTTATTAACTACGTAGTAATCAAGCGTCCTTAATTTTAGAGAATAAATTAATAACTCGTTAGAAGGGTTTGTTTAATTAATCAACATCCAAATTATAGTTTTATGAAGACTCTACATAGAAAATGTTAGGTAGGGGTAATGAGTCCCGGAGACCTGGGGTGTGGGGACATTTGCTGACCTGGCATGAGGTGTACAGGATATGCAGTTTAAAAATGGATTTAATTAATAGACTAAATCCTGCGGTCACTTTTACAAGATCCTGACAGTTTTCCTAGCAACTAAGACATCTCCATGCAAACGTCATGCTACTGCCGTGCCGAATTCAGTTGATTGAATTAAATTCGAATTTAGCGCAGAAGTAGCACGACTGATCTCAAACGTCGTCCTACTGCCGTGCCGAACTCAATTTATAAATTATAAATACATTAGAATACATTTTAAAGGTTCACTAAACCGCTTTTCATTATAAATTTTTGTTTTTAACAAAAGGTAATTTTTTTTAACGTAGTAAAATTCGACGTCTGAAACCAAGTCGTGCTACAGTCGAACTGAAGTTGAGGAAGCTTAGAACGCCTGTAGCACGTCGTTTGAAACAGGCCTAAGCCTACGTAGCAAGCGTCTCCACGCGAGTTTTGTTGGCGAATGTTGGAACGAAAGCGGAGAAAGGGACGAAGCGGACTCGGGCGGAAATGCTTGCTACGGGGGCATTTTCCGTTACGCAACTAAGTCACTGACTAAGTGTACTGTGTTATGCAGGCCCCAAGAAAGGGACTTCAAACCAGTCGTTTTATCCAGTAAAAGACAATGTATTTAAGTGACTCAAAAAGGCCTAGATTGTTAACGGACTACCGAAAGCCGCACGTTTTCCTTTGTCAGGCGCAGAACGGCGTTCTCCACTCTTAACGTGTACGTCCGTGTTTCTTGCAGTGATTTTTATTAAAAGCGTGCAAGTTGAATATGGTTAATGATTTCGTCAACCATTAATATTAAAGCTATCACCCATGTATAGGCTGCCCCGATTATTTAATCCTTCAGGGTATCAGTGGTACAAGTAAAAATGCCATTGTCAATTTGCCAATCAGGTTGAAAAGGAAATTCAAAACGCACTTCCGGTAATTCGTTGAGTGTTTTGGGGGCCCAGAACAAGGATCTCGGGGCTGTTTGGTAGACGTTACTAACCGAGGTTAACTTACGTTTCCCGCGATGCAGGATACTTGTACAACGGACAGATTGAATAATCTGGGCAGCCTATATACGAGCTCCCCTCCCCTCAGAGGGACTAAATCAAAGTATAGTTTCGTTTGTGGCGCAGGCTTAAGGTCAAGTAATGAAACAGTTCGAGAGTTTAGCGGCAACGTTTTTGAGCGACGCACGTCAACCGGAAGTGGACTTGCACTCTTGAGCCGTGATATTTTTTGGGCAAATTGTCGTTATCACTATTATCTATGTCTTTATAAGAGTAAAGACACTCAGCAATACAAATTATGTAGCGTCAAGGTATATTAAAAGAGAAAAAGGCTCACTTCCGTTTGACGTGCGTCGCTCAAAAACGTCGCTGCTTAAACTCGCCACTAGTTTCTGTGCTTGACCAGCCGTTAAGGGCTATGGGTGCTTACGAGCTACCTCCCCGTTAAAAAGACATAAGGAGAACTCCTTTCAAAATTAAAGTGTCCTGAAGGAGGAGTACAATGCAGTTCCATTTCTCAGTCAAAGGAGAAGAAGAGGGAAAGAAGCATTTGATACGAAGAACTTCCTTTAATTAGCCTGGATTTCAGACGATTACTTCGAGTCGTTTTTACTCCCTCAGTTGCCGAGGGAGTGAAAACGACTCGACGTAATCGTCTGAAATTCAGGCTATCCTTTAAGGGGATCAAGTTTTTTCACAAAATTTTCGCCATGTCATCTTTGAGTGATTAAATCATTAAAGCTTGAGCCACACTCGCAGATTGGTCTTCTTTAGAACCTCAGTTTAGGGGCTTTTAAACTAGACTGCAAAACAGTCGGTTTTTCTCTTAAAATTGGTTTAGAAGACAAAAGAGCAGAGTAAGAGCCTCGACCGCGAAGCGCGCGAGCCTCACACCCCCTACGGGTGTGTGGGGCGGGAGAAGAAAACCTAGCGTCTCTCTCCAGCTTCGCTCTCCGTTTTCAGCTTTTTGTTAAACAGTTCGTGCGTACAGTGTACTTGAATACACAAAAATATGGACTGTTTTACAGTCTACTTTTAAAACTACTCTCCGACAAGCATTCTAACTCCTTTCACATGCGAGCCTTTCCGAGACGAATTCTTGGCTTGCAACCACGTGACAGTTGGTGGTGTGTTGGTGGTCAATACAACAGATTTTTTTTTTTTCGAAGAATTTACATGAAAATAGAGTTTAGTTCCCAGAGGAGAGAAATGCTTTTTGTTCTTGACCACCAACACACCACCGTGACGTCACGCGCAAACCAACAATTGTTGATGTTAGTCAACATGTAAATAACCGAACTTTTCCTTACTTCGATGCGTATACATACTCTGTACCTGTTGAACACCTGTTTGATGCAAAAGAGTGCGGAGCATTATTTATTCCCGACTCTGTGTATTACAAGGGCTTAACACACCGGGATCAAGATTATACCTTTCGAGTGCCCTCTAACGTAATAAAAAATATTATGGGCTACGGAGTGGTTGGAGAGCCTTGTGGCGTTATACAATGGAGTCCTGTATGATATGCCTTTTTATTTAAACATATTTTATTGACAAAGTTTGCCTAAGAGTAACAAGTTGCTTAACATTAAGCTATATCACAGAGAAGTGATTGAACAAAGTATTGACTGAGTTTCTGTATAGACGACTGGCGAGCTAGTTCCCCTACAATCGATCGAACTATTACAATATTATAAGCTATCATCCGTGGATAGAGTGCCCCCAGACTGGATTGCCTCGCGGATTATTTAATCTTCAGGGTCGAGGGGCAAGCAATAAAATAATTTCTGTTCTTTAATACCAGAAGTCAGGGGCTATTGGTGCATACGAGCTACTTCCCTTCAGGAGACATAAAGAGAACTACTTTCAAAGGGGTTCTGAATGAGGGGTACCCTGGGATACCAAACCTATTTCTCATTCAAAGCAGAAGAGGGGAAACAGATGAAAGAAGCATTTGATATGAAGAACCTCCTTCATGGCAATCAAACTTCCTAATCCCTCTCTCTCTCTCTCTCTCTCTTTTTTTTTTTTTTTTTTTTTTTTTTTTTTTTTTTTTAAATGGTTTTTGAATGAGGGGTGACCTGGAAAACCAAAACGATTTCTTAACAAAAACAAAAACGGGGAAAAAGATGAAAAAAGCATTTGATATGAAAAACCCCCTTCATTGCAAACAAACTTCCCTATCCCTCTCTCCCTCTCTCTCGCTCTTTTTTTTTTTTTTTTGTTTATTTGTTATATGTTATCTTTGAGTGGTCAATTTAATAAAGCTTAAGGCCACACCCAGATTGGTCTATTGTACCACCTCAGTTTAGGGGCTATTACACCAACTCTCCGACAAGTGTCCACGTTCCTTTCACATGGGAATCTTTCCGAGACGAATTTACCGAACGCTTTGTTGATGTTGTTTAGTAACAGAACTCTTCCCAACCTCGATGCGTGTACTCGATACCTGTTTGATGTAAGAGGGTGCTGCGCATCTGACTCTCCTGTCGTACAAGGGGTTAAGACACACCATTTAGCCTCGCTTAGATAGGCGTTAGACCTTAGGGTATTTCGGGATCAAGATTATACCTTCGGGCGCCTTCTAAAGTGATAAAACTATCATGGGATATAAGTAACCTTTATTTATCGTCAATGACGTGGGGAGTGGTCGCCCAGTCTCTCGAGCCAGGCTCTCATGTATAAAACGCTCGACCGAAGGGAAAAAAATAAAAGTAGAACAACTAACAAAAATATAATTGAATAATGGATAATTTTCACAAATAAGGTATAAAGATCCTATAAAATATCAATTATATCACAATTACAACTGGACCTTATTAAAGGAACCTACGGGGTAAAAAATAAAAATACAATACTATTAACACTATGTAATTACATTAAGACAAAGCTACAAGATACAGCTCTTACATTGACATCATTTATACTTTACATTTTTCATTAATACTAAATTGCTGGACAGTGGGAGCCCTGGGAGTAGGGGTCTGGGTAGACCTGTGCCGTTTTATCGTAGTACAACTCAAACACAAGGTGAGTCATTTTAATTTCTATTCAGTTTTGTCAAAAAGTGAAACATAGGACGGACTTTGTTTATTTTCACACATTTTCTTATAAATTCAAAGTCTAACGAAATCCCACATAGTCTGGGCAGCCTGAGGGGCCTTGCATCCCAAAACTTTGGAAAACTACCATCAGCGATTGTTCAGTGCGTCTTTGCTCTAATGAGCTCAATGAGATGATAGATAGGGAGGCATCGTAAGAGGCAAAGTTTCCTAAGTTTAAAATAGTTTTTAATGCTTAATAATGGCACGTTAAGTTTGTTGTTCAATGTTGGATATAGAGTTGTTGGAGAGCGTTTTGGCGTTATACATGGGAGTCCTGTGCAGCATATGCCCTCTTTGATGCTTTTTTACACTTTTCCTTGTATTTATTTTTTTTGTTTTTAATGTATTGTATTTATTGATTTCTAATATCTAATGGAGATTACACAATGGCCTACGATTGGTCTGAAACTGGGCTGACTATCGTGCGTGACGTAACAGACTCCAAACTACGGGTATTGAACTTGCGTTACTTTCTGTGAAACCGCTGACAAAAAAGTGACAGTAGCTTCTAGTTCAGAATGGACGCATCAAGGGAAATCAAATCCTTGAAGCTGTGTAAGTTCAGCCCAGTGTTATATATAATAAGCTTACTTATCGGTAACAATTCTTTTAGGAGCTATATATTTTAAGTCTAAACACTGATAGTGGAACGACCTTTTAACAAAATGCTGCGACCTTAACTTTTCGGTTCCAAAATCTGACACTTAAACTGACTAAATGTAGATTGAAAAATTCTTGAACCTTTCTTGTCGAGAACACTGTACTTTCTCTAAGTTTCTGAACTCGAGCGATTTTTCCACGCATTTTAAGGCAAAAGGAGAAAAATACTGTACAACATATTTTACTCTAGTTTAACAAAATAGCCGACATTTTATGGTGTCAACAGCCCATGGCATAAGTTGATCTTCCTGCTTTCTTATGCATCCCCATGCATGTTGTGCTTATGCTTACAAGAATTTTTCATGCGTGATTTCCATAATTAACCGCATAATAGCACATGTCTACTACCTATTACAAAATCTCTTTGTGCATTGGAGATTTCTGATTGAATTAAAGAAATATGAAGATGAGAGGACAACAATATTATTGACCTACATACAGTCATGTCCTCTTTTAACTTCATATATCTGCTATAATTTCAGACATCAGCAGAGAATGTGCCACTGACAGCGCATGCTACTATCGGTCCACTCACTGCCTCATACCAATGCAATTCTTAGGATTTTCTCTGATAGTCACGGTTCACATTGAGCCTTCAATTCCTTTGTGCCTTTGCATTTTTAAAACTTATCCATGATCCTTGCTCCATGACAACTGTGGAAAATTCCAAGAAACGCCAGGTTACGAGGCAGCAGGTTCATTTGTGTGTGCACAGTGACCCACTCAACCAACGATACACTGTGTGTGATAGGAAATTAATCATAGTTAGAGGGGTAGAACATCTCTTGGGAGAAGGAGTGTGGGCATCCTACACTGTACATGTTTCACAACTATAAACTGATTACAAATAATGTAAATATTCCTTTTACAGATGACAGTGATAGCACGGGGTAAATAATACTGTAGTTTATGCCAAGTGTCAATTACCCTGTTTTCTTTTTCAGAGTGCCCTGAACCTTTTTGAGTATGTAAAATGGGAAGTTTCTTTAATCTGCACTGATAAATCACACAGACACCAAAGGCACGAGCCACTAGAGGGATTAGAAACATGCTCCCCCAGAGAATTTTGAAATCTTGATGCTCTGAAACATCATTTCTAAGGTTCTGAGAGGACAAACTCTGTCTAAAATGTTCCGTTTTCATGCCTATTTTCATGTTCACGACTTTTCATACAAGTACTCCAACGTCAGGAGTGCATTACCGTCCTGAAATTATCGCAGGCTTATTTTGAGATACCAAAAGGGTATAAATGGCTAGAAACCACAGAAAAATGGCAAAGAATCGTGCTAAAAAAGACTGGTTGAACGAAGAAAACATTATCTTTCTTTGGCTAGGAAGAGTTTCAAAAACCGGGAGAATATTAAGCGAAAATGAGAGGCCAGAAATATTTGCCAAAAAAAGGAGGTTTCCAGCCAAAATGGTAGGGTTGGTATCTAAATGGAATTTCATTGCAAGAATTTTTTTCTCTTGAAATCAGTCTGCACTTGATATGTTTTTCTGAAATCACCCATACACCCCTTAAAAGTCAAATGGTCGGCCCCTTATGACCACTTTTTGCATCCCTCTGCAATCAAATTGGCAAATGGTTAAAGAATCCTGGGAGAAGGGCATATAGCATAAGCAGAGCCAGTAAAGATCTGTCCATTGAATCATGGTGCAAAACTAAGTGAAAAACAGGGTTTTACATACTGGTTTAGTTTTGAATTCCCTTACATTGTAAGCCTGTTGCTTTTTTTGACCTTTTTGATACAGATGATCACATTGATAGAGTCTACAAAGAATTGAGGCAGGTGTGTTTCATTCTTATTATAATGTATAGTATTCTCACTCTTTGTGCTTATGCAATCTTGGCTGTGGACTTAAGTGGCCTTACACATTTCAACCTTTATGCTGTCCTCTGTGAGTGACTTATATAAAACACTACACAGTCAAACTATATGACAATAAAGGGCTTCCAGCAAAAACAAAAAATGTCCTAGGCTGCATGCAGACTACATTCATGCAGGCACATGGAAAAGTGACTTCTCCATTTACAACAAAGGAATAGAAGATGTCTGCATCCAGGCTTACAACATCCACACAGAATATCTTTTTTTTAGGATGATTTTCTTTGCTTTTTTCAGGGGTTTCGTTTCAGGTGGGAAGCTGGACACAACGTCCGGTTGTTTGACATGTTTTAAGTGTGAAAATCGTTTTTTTCCATTTATTAACCAAAGAAGACCCTCATTTTACTCACTTAGTTATGTAATGCATACAATTGAAAAAAAAAAAGAGATATAATTATAGGTAGCAGTGGCAGTGGCTGCTCTGGGACTTGAAGTCGATTGTGATGATGTGGACTACGACAGTGATAGTGACTCAGCCTTTGGATCTGTTGAAGTCAATCTCTAGAGAGTAGCTCTCTGACTCTAGAGAGGTATTCGTACACTCTTTCCGATTGGAGTCTGTTTTGGAATCAACTAAAAAAATTAACAACTGCAAACTGATAACTGTAATTGCCAAATCCGTCAAATATTTCTTTTTTTGTGATCATTTTTTAACTCCTTAAAAGACCTTCCCGGTTACCCAATTCTGGTCCAGGGAACGCAGGAATTTGCATTTTAGAGAGTCCAATTTTATAAATTTCCCCTACCCCCCTAGGAGTTTGTGCCTCCAGCACTATACATAGCAGCGCGAACGGTGCACATCCGCCAGCTGAACCACTGCATTCGGTACGTCCAAATACTACCGAAAACCCTGTTTTTTGAGAAAGTGTGGGGTGATGGCGGAAAATTTTTGGGTAATATCTGTACATCATCAAGAGAAAACACTTTTACAATTAATAATAATTATGATCAGTTTACAAAAAGAAAATTAATGCTTTGATCTTTTCTCAAATTCTCTGAACTGTTATTCTTTAAGGAAATGTATGGAGATCAGTTTGGAGAATCTGTACTGTATGTGAATATGTGGGCTCAGAAGGGTTAAACTATAACAGGGCTCTGCTGGCAAGGCTAAAAGTAGAGTTTCCCAGCAATAACAAAATACACTGTAGTTTCTGCGAGAAGCCTGTAATATTAATTGTAATTGGTTTACCCAATGGGACAGTCTTAGGAGTTCTTAAGAACTCGCTGAAACGTGTCCGTACGTTGCAGATCGAATTGGAACACAAGATCTTCAAAGTGTTTATTGCTTGATCTGAAAAAAAAAAAGCATGTACTATCCAATTACCCCTAAGGCAGATATACACAATGTAACACATACTGTCCTATTTCACTGTCCCATTAATGCTGAAATCAGGGCTCCTGAAGGCCAAACAGATCAGAGCTATTCAGCCACTCGGTGCCTCGTGTGCCTCAAAGAGTATTGTTAGACTTGTACATGTTCTTCAATTAATGTTTTGTTTCGATTATTATTCTTTTCTTTCTAAAGGGAGAATTAAGTCCTTAAAGGATGAGGATAAATTAGAATCTTTTGATGTGAAAGATGGAGGAAGATTGTACTTAAACGACTTAGGTAGGGTTCTATATTGTTACAGGACAATCATACATGTACATGTGCTTCAGAACTGTAATGCTTAAAATCTAATGAAACATGTACAAAAATTATATAGTATTATAGTACATGTACATCCTAAAAATACATAAATTTATTTAAATTAGTATTGTCTTTTGTTTAGTCCATTTAAATGAAACCTTCAGGTGTAGTATGTATTTTTAAATGGTTCGTTTTTAATATTACATGTATGTTTTGAAATCATACAATTAACGAAGTTTGGGATTACATAAATTTATGTATTTCTTCTTCTTAATTAAAGTAAAGTGGTTTTTGCACCACACAACAAAACACATAATTTGTTACTTTGATTTAATCCTCAGGTCCTCAGATAAGCTGGAAAATATATGGTAAGAACTTTTTGTTAGAATTATTTGTGTGGAAATTATGTTTAAAGGTTACAAGTATGGTACAATAAGGTTTCATCTTTTTGGTGTAAATCAAGGGTAATTTTTTTTATACATGTATGCCTGCATAAATGTTGAATAATTTGTACAAAGAATGGTTGTTGTAGGTAAGATCTTTTGTTAGTTTAACCAGTACTTGACCTATTCCCCTGTCTGCTGTGGGTTCAGAAAACAGATTTTACCAACATTATAATTTTATACCTGCCTTACTGGTGCCACATAACCAGAGACAGGGGCGGATCTAGGGGGAGGGTGCAGGGGGTGCGCACCCCTCCCCCTCCCCCTGAGATGACCTGCGGTTTTCTAATACAACTGGTATTCTGTTTATTGGTGTTGAAGTAGAGCAAGAGACGAGTGCACCCCCTCCTAAAAAAAATCCTGGATCCACCCCTGAGAGATGAGGCTATGCAATTTTACACTATAATAGTGAAACCTTTAAAGTGGACCCAATAATTTGATTGACCAGGCCCCAGTTGTTTAAATGCTATGGAGTGCTATCCAGTGGATAAATCACTATTCAGTGGATAAGTATTAGGGGAAACCAATGGAAAGAGATTATTATTTTTACATGTACCCACCGGATAGTGTTGTCCACCTTTTAAAACCAGGGCCAGGTGTTGACCAACTACCAAGTGTCAGTACAGTGATTAGTCCTAAACTTATTTCTGCAAAAAAAACCTGCCTTCAGTGGACATGTACCTCTTTCTCACCACCAAAGCCCCTCCCGCTCCTCCCCGCTCCTCCCCTCCCCTCCCCTCCCCTCCCCTGAGTATTTGCCTGCACATTAATTATTGTGATATGCAAGTGGCAAAGTGTCATACATGAGCCAGAAACATGCATGACCTTGGACTCTCAGAGTTTCTTTACTTGTGGGCTAAATATTGAAGAGCAAAAGGTGCAGTACTCATCATTACCTTCTTTTGTATAATTTATAGGTATTTTTGGCTGAGTATGCTAGTCTCCTCATTTTTTATGTGCTCCTGTACCCTTGTCCTTCTATTGTCTACAGTGCAGCAGCAGCAAGCAAACCTTATGCTCCTGTTGCAGCGTGCAAAGAAAGTAGTGTCCGATAGCATTGGGCTAGTGAATTTTGCTATCAGGCTAGTGAATTCTGTTTTTAACTTGCCCAACAGGCAAGTGATGTGTTATAAGGAATTTGAATAACAGAAGTACTGTGAAATCAATTCTGCTGGTCAAAAAGTTTTTGGGGCTAGTTGAAATGACGTCCAGGCTAGTAAATGCTGGCTTCAGCTTGCCCGAATGACAAGCTGTAAAAAAGATTCTCTTTGCACCCTGTGTTGTGCAGTAAATTTACATGTTTTAAACTCGTTTTGTAGATTTATGGCTGGTTTTATAAACTCCATTGGGTATTGTGGGATGTTACACTGCTGCCTGGTTGGCTCAGTTGAATGCACGAGTACCGGTCCGCCAAGTGGGAAATGGCAGGTTAAACCCCCGACCAGACCACCAATCAGGATATTAAAAAAAAAACTGGCAAGATTATGATGACTGTGATCTATAAAATTTCTTATTATTGTACATGTAAGATCTTGCCTTAGTTCAGATGATTGGGCCATTATGTAGCTTGATGTTTAAAGCCATTGGCCATGTCTCCTTCATGCTTCCTTAGTTATAAGAATGCAAAAAAAAGTCCCACAGTGCTTTTTGGAAAGAGAAGGGGACATAGACCCCATTGGTGTGGTCTATCTTTCATTTGAGGGAGGAGAACTGTGACAGGACCGCAGTACCTGCTTTTCGCTGTTAGAGCTGCCCTGTCAAGTACTGGAGTTAATAATCTATTAAATTCTTAAAATTACTTGATACATACTGCCCTATGCATTCGTTATGCAGTCTTTCATGCTGTAGATGTACAAACGTCATCATTTCCAGTATATTGTGTATGTTACAGGTTAAAATTAAATTCAGGTTAAAATTTTTTCACCAAGGTTGATTCTCAATTTCGTTTGTCTCCTAACCATAATTTATTCAATCATGAGTTAGAGCTAGAAAACAAAGGAAAGTGCGAATCAACCTAGGTTAAAAAATTTAAACCTGAATTTAATTTTAACCTGTAACATGTTTGCATGTCCTAAACCTTGTTTCAGTATTGCGGCAGCTTGTTGGGCAGGACATTTTGCAAAACGACTGTTGGAGACTTTATTTGTTCATCGATTCTCCCATGCGACCATGCCTTTGTTCAACATTTTCAAGGTACATTGTATCGTGCATGCTCCGTTTTGAAGGAACTGGTTAGCTTGAATGCATGTATGCGCGATGGTGTTCTATGAACGTTTATGTTCTGGAGTGTTATACATTGTACTGTCTTGTACTGGTGTTTTAGCTTTAGCAATAGTCACAGTTTTTAATAATAGTTTTTTTTATCACTGCTGGAAGTGAAAAAAAAACAAAACCGAAAAAGCGTGAGAAATGTATGTAGCAAATGACTCTAATATACGTAACCTGGTCAAATCTTTGTTCAACTTAGTGTATCTACATCTATTCCATTCATGAGCTTGTTCTGTACAGTGTGTATTTGATGCAATTTTCTCTTTTCTTTTCATTCTCTGCTTGGATTCTAAAGAACTGTGCTTATTACGGGTAAGATAATTATTTTATAATTATTATTTGCCTATACTTGCTAAAAACCTTTAAAAGTCAAAACTGTTGTCCCATTAAATCAAGAGGGAAAACAATTCACGTTGATGGTGCTGATAGTTTCTTGCTGTCAGTGTATTTAATGTAATAGTTTGAGCTGTACATGTTTTTTCCTTCCTTTTTGATTTTCAATTTTATTATTGGTTAAAACATCCAAGACTATTAGAACTCCCTGAAAGTGGTGATCAAGATTTCATGTTTGTCCCATAAAAGCAAACTCCAATAAGTAACAACTACCCGGTAAAATTAAAGGCGGCCCAAATGTCAACCCATAAAGACATGCAAATACAATGTCTGTTGCACCTAACAGGCTTTTATCTTTGTCAATTGGTCTTTTTTTACAGAGGTTATGGTGTCCTTGTCAGTTATTTTGTCAATCATCGATTTTATACACCACCAAGTATGTAGGTTGACATTTAAATTAAGCAATTTGGGCACGGTTGAAATTTCGCATTTCATTTGAAGCCAATTCTATGCTTGTGAGAAAAAACCTAATTTTCTCACTCATTTTTGTGCAAACTGATAACAAAGGAAAGATGACCACATACTTGTTACTTGAATGCATGTCAAAACTGTCTTTTTTGTATAATTATGCCCTATTTTTTTGTCATGTTCTGCTTGTACATAAACATTTAGGCAAAAAGAAGAATGAAAAACTGGATTTACATTTATGTGACTAAGTCATTACATTGAACGTTGTTGGAATAATATTATTGTGTTGACTTTTTTCAAAGCTACAAACCATTGATTTTGATTATTAATAAGTCTTTTTGTGACTGAGGCATTGTCAAACTCTGCATTTGCAATTATTTGAACATTTTTTTTTTACTTTTAACTCAAACATTTTTCTTGTAATTTATTTAGTGTTTGGTGATGCCCAGGTGTATACAGGCCTAGCTCTGTTCTTGGTAAGTTAAAATAATATTTTGAATGCATTTTCAAAAATTATGTGGATAGTAACTCCTTTAAAACCATTAGAAATTAACCTGTGTCTGAAAATAATCTGAATTGGATATTACTGGATAAGATTATCATGGTAAATGGTTTATAATCCCTTTGTTTGACTGTTTTTTTTTTAAGTTTAACAAGTATGGCAACTTTGTCATCCATTGTGCTTTGCGGGATTTGAGGCCTCCAGGTAAGCCACACTTGCTCTGTTGTTATGGTAACCAGTTTTTGACATAGAGACAAGTTAAATGATGCAAGTTATCCACGTGAGTTCAGATTTATTATTAATTTTATAAGGGACTTGCAATGAAGCTTCCAAAAAATAGCAAAAAAATGTTTAATGAGACTAACAGATGCAAGGTCCAATTAAGGTTGACTCCAAAGAAGGAAAAAAAGCAGTACTGAAATCGCAATAAGATGATGAAGTACTTTTACAAAATAATGTGGATGAAACAATTTACAGATCTAAAGTGGCGGCTTAGCATTATTTCCCTGGTTTGGATTCTAGTGTATCTCAAATACGAAAGACTACACTACACTAAAGGTTAAAAAGTTTAAGGTACACACGAGTTAAAGGCTCCAATGGCTGGAGCTTATCCCGGTTTCCATAGCATGAAGCATGCCTAGGAGTATCTGGACAAGATGCTAGTTCATTGCAAGGCTACCCCCCCCCCCCCCACCA